ACTATCTAATCCTTCCTCATGAGTCGATGAAATTAACTCAATCTTCATTAGCATCTGAGACATAGTTGTGTAGTTGATCATGACTTTTATTGCAAGTTTTCATCTTTGTCACATAATTTTTTCCTATTATAGATACTCCAGTAGATGTTCCAACACATGTTTCCACCTTGGATTCAACCTTCTTTGGATCAACACCCATATCCTTCTTGGCTTCTGTAATACGGTGGGAGAACTGACTTTTGGGTTTTGTGTTTTATTACAAATATTGCGGATAGCAAGAGTTGCCACCGACTTTTCTTTTATCCAATAAAGGAAAGGGTGAAAAGAACAGGAAAGACCTTTTGAGAATTTTCTGAGTAAGAGGGGTAGGTTATGAAAAGGGAAGGTGTTAGCACCCTTTTCATCCCGTAGTTATCTACGGGCTCTTAATCACTAGCTCACTTTTTTGGAAATGCTTTGTGCTTGTGTATGTTTAAAAATATTTTGAAAATGCCTAAGTACGACAATTTTGTAATGATTCTCGTATCGTTGAGAATGTATATAAAATGTTTGTTTTGAAAATATTTGTGAAAGAAAGTGTTGTTTTGTGGAAATATGTTTTATTTTGAAAAGTTTGTGAGCAAGCGACTACGAGCGTCCTACCTACTCAAAAAAGTCTTTGTTCTTTTCCACCTCCTTTAGATAGTGCTATTGTGATACGGTGGCATAACCGACTATTATACTGGTTTTGCGTTTGTGTTTGCAAATGTTACGGTAAGTAAGAGTTGCCACCGACTTTTCTTTTATCCAACTAAGGAAAGGGTGAAAAGAACAGAAAAAGACATTTTCGAGAATTTTCTGAGTAAGGGGGATAGATTATGGAAAGGGAAGGTGTTAGCACCCTTTCCATCCGTAGTTATCTATGGGCTCTTAGATGCTTATCTCATTTTTGAAATACCTCTGTGCTTTTGTGTGTTTTGAAAAAGTAGTTTGAAAAATGTCTTAGTGCGGCAATTCGCTTTATGATAACTCTTGTATCAGTCCTCAAGAGTGTTGATAAAGCAAATGTTTTTGAAAGTGTTTTTAAAATGTTTTTGTGTAAGTGCAAAAGTTTGTTTTGAGCAAGCATCTAGGAACTATCTACTTACACTCGAAAAGGTTTGTTTTTCCTCCTATCATTTAGACAGTACTATCCTACTATTAGTGAGTAGGTAGCGTTATCGTTGGATGTTAAAGGGGCATTCGAAGGGACGTACAGTCATAAAGGCAACGTATGGAGATGCTTTATAAATTTTGTTTTAAGGGACTAGATCATTTACCGGAAGGCAACACTGTAGGGTCATCGATGGACTATGATATTTTGATTTACGGGACTTTGCTAAAGCGTCCCCATTCTCGAGGGACATGACTGTTTTACTTTCCGAAAGGCAACCAAAGTGGGCGTACCCTAAAGGTGTATATGTGCAAGTGATTCAGTTCAATTTATTTATCTTTGTTATTAGGTTTGCTAACGTTTTGCTTCCAGTTTTTCCATACACACCTAGTTACTAACAATTAATATCTTGCAGAAATTTAAAGTGCGAGAATCATAAATCCTACGCTACTACAATGCTTCGGGGGTGGGGGTATTTACATGTCCAAAAATTAGGGGAAAGAAAATAAAGAAATCAGTAAATGCCCTAATTAATTATCTATTACATACTGTCATCAAATACATAAATATGAAAAAATAGAAAGGAAATATTGAACACGCGTGAATTGGAGAAGAAAGTCTAAAACCCTAAATAAACTAAATAAAATAAAATATTTTTTTTGGTTTTGTTTATTTTAAGAAAATAATTAAATTTAATTAAATGAGAAATACTAAATTTAATCCTAAAGAAAACTAATTCTAATATTTTTTGTATTTTTGTTAAGAAAGTATTTGAATTAAAAAAACTATTTCTAATTGATTTTAATGGTAAAAGACTAGATCTAATTTTTTATATATTTTGATTTAATGTTGATAAAAAAAAACCAAAAAAATAAGAAAATGAAAAAAAGGTCATTTGATCCAGGGAAGGAAATGATCCTTCGATCTTGGGAATGATATGGTTCTTTCGATCTAGAGGAAAGGGGCCTTCGATTCAGAGGAGGGTGGCTATCCTTCACTCCAATGAAGGAAGTTGTCATTTTATTCAATGAAGGGTGTTACTTTCGATCTAGAGGGAATTATTGAAAGTGCCTGGTGGATCACCTATGAGGACACTGAATCTGCAAAGATATGTTAGCAAAAATAAAAGCATGACCTGGGTGCCAAACCCATGTCCTTCGATTCTGTGCGCATTGGCCTTACTTAGACTGGATCTGCAACATAAGTGTTAGACACAAAAAGAAACAAATAAGGACATGGGTATCACACCCAAGTCCTTCGATCATGGATGAAAATCGAATGACTATGACATGCAAAGAAAATTTAGAACTTGATTCCTTACATTTTCCTTACCAACCGTGTTGTATGAATTTATGGTGTTGGAGATGCCTAATGCTTGGGCACACTCTCTACAAACTTCAGGAAGTGGATTGGGCGTTTGCTGAAGATTGCTTCGATTTGGACCACATATGATTTTTTTGATAACTTTGGTATTGCTTATGAGGCTGCGTGCGCGTGTATTATGTATGTTGTGTGTAATGTCTCTGATGGCGTGAGTGTGGCAAGAGTGTTTTTGATATTTGTATCATTTTTTCCCCTGCCTTGCAATATGCTTTAGGCCTATATTTATAGAGATGTGATGTGCATGGAAATGGAAAGGGACAACCATTAACTAGGCTTTGAAGGAAAAAATCATACACATTAAAAGACTTCCATTTTGGAAATATTCATGCCTCTTTGAGCCTTGGGATGAACCTAGACATGCTTCACTCTTTCAAATACCTTCAGGCCATGCCCTTCGATTGGCCTTGAGTTGCCTCCTTAGAATGGCTCTGGTTTCATCCTTGTAGATCTTTCAATTGAGTCTATCTACATCAATTCAAATTGCTCAGATCTTTGATGACTCTGAACTCCAATTGTTCAGAGTTTTCCCTTATCAGAGTTTCTTTAATTAAGTCACCATCTGCATCAATTCGAATTTCTCAGAATTCTCTTCGTCAGAGCATTGTTCTTTTTGATGATTCTGAATTCGAATATGTTCAGAGTTTCCCTTATCAGGGCTTCTTCAAAACCCTCTCAGATCTTTGCTCTTCGATTGGCTATGACTTGCTCCTCACGGCTCATTCGATTGGACCCATCTATTTGCCATAACTGCTTGATTATGGAAAATTCAAATATCCCAAACGAGAACTTCATTATGGCCAGTCGAAGCCTCTTTTGTCGCTTCCTTCGAATGCTATTGTGCATGAGACTTGGGCTTGACAACATGTAGGACCAAGACTCATCATAAGACAAACTTTCTTTCAATAATTATATGTATCCTTCGAATGGACCACCTGTATATCCTTCGAAGAGACTTTTTGTGTGTCTTTCGAATAGTCCATATGTATGACTTTTGCCTTCTTCAAATGGGCCACCAATGTGTGTCCTTCGAATGGATCTTTAGAGTGCTCTTTCGAAGGGGTCGTATTGTGTGTCATAGTGCAGAAACTGTGTTGAGGGGTCTTGGACTTGTGCATTGAAAGCAAACACATAGGAAGTCTTTGCCATGTGCATTGAAGGAAATCATAGAAGAAGCCTTTGCCCTTGTGAATCCAAGACAATTCTGAGAAAGCCTCTTCCTTGTGGATCGAAGGCTAGTTGAAAGGAGCCTTTGACTTAGTGAATCTAAGGCAAGCATGAAGAGACCTTTTCCTAGTGAGTAGAAGGTTGCATGTAGAGGCCTTTTGTCTTGTGAATCAAAATAAACATGCAGGAGGCCACTTCTGGTGAATCGAAGGGAACTTGTAGAGGGGTCTTTCCTTGTGCGCTGAAGGCACGCACATAGGGAGTTTTTTTGCCTTGTCAATTGAATCAGGCATGAAGCAACCCATGCTCAGTCTAAGTCTTGTGAACCAAGCTTGCGTCGAAGGATTTTGGACACCTAATCGAAGCTCCTTGTCCAAATGACAATCGATGGACACCTTGTCCCAATGCCAATCGAAGACAGCTTGTCCTAATTTCAATCGAAGACAGCTTGTCCCAATGCCAACCGAAGACACCTTGTTTATCTTCAAAAAATTTAGTTTCTTTAAGCAAGTGTTTGTAATCACCCATGTAAAAGAAAATCTTGGAAAAACATGAGATGGAAATTTTGGGGTACAACAGCTGCCCCTGTTCAATCTTCTTAAACTTGAATATTTAGATTGGCTTGTTTGCCTTTCGTGATCTGAAGGTGGAAGATGATTGAACACTAGAGTGCCCAGAAATCACTACAAGAAAATTAGGATTTTACGACACAAAAATTGCGACAGTTACTTAATAACCGTCGTAATTCTAATATAGGGACCCATGTCACGACGGTATACACCTACCGCCCTAAAATGAATGTTGCGACGGTTAAGAAACCGTCCTAAACTAGACATCGCGACGGTAAAACAACCGTCGCCCCCCTAAACCTTTAAAAAACATGCAAAAGTTATGAAAGGGCACGACGGTAACCACACCCGTCGTCCCCCTAAATCCTTTACCCCGCTTCGTCTATTACGCTTTACTGCAATTTAAACCCAACTATTTCAAACCCAATAACACCGAACTTCACTCCATCATTTCCTGCATCACCTTCACCCCCCATGTTACTTACCGTGTTCTTTCAGACCCTATTCTCCAACCGCATTCCTGTTTATCCTTTTTCCACTTCCTCAAAACCCATCATTCCAACCATTCACTCAAACCTGACCTCAAGGCCCATTTGATTCTCTTTTCTAGACTCTTTAAAGCTTGCAAATTCGCCACCATCAAGACTATTCTGAATTCCGTTGTTACTGATTCCCAATTTCGCTCCCCAGTTTCGGGGATCGTTGATTTGCTTGATGAATTTGAGTTTCATTTTGTTGACAAGCTTTGTGATATGTTGTTTAGGGTTTGTTCTGATAATAGGTTGTTTCCAGAGGCGGTTAGGGTTTTTGATTATGTGGAGGAAAAGGGGTTTGTGATAGAGGAGAGGTCTTGTTTTGTGCTTTTGCTTGCTTTGAAGAGATGTGGTGAGATTGAGTTGTGTCTTAGATTCTTCCGCCGGATGGTTGAGTCTAATGGAATTGAAATTAGGGTTCAGTCTTTGACACTTGTGATTGATGGCTTGTGTAAGAGAGGAGAGGTTGAGAAAGCTAAGGAGTTGATGGATGAGATGGTCACTAAAAGCATTGTGAAACCGACTGTGTTTACTTACAATACGTTGTTGAATGCGTATGTTGGAAGAAAGGATCGAAGTGGAGTTGGTGAGATACTGAGGTTGATGGAGAAGGAGCCGGTTGTTTTTAGTGTGGCGACTTATAGTATTTTGATTCAGTGGTATTCTAGTTCTGGTGATATTGGGGAAGTGGAGAAGATATTCGAGGAAATGCGTGAAAGAAAAATAGAAATTGATGTTTATGTTTATTCGTCCATGATAAGTTGGAGTTGTAGGTTGGGAAATATGAAAAGGGCATTTGCGTTGTTTGATGAGATGGCTCAGAGAAATGTTGCTCCTAATGCACATACTTACGGCGCGTTGATTGGTGGTGTGTGTAAGGCTGGTCAAATGGAAGCTGCGGAAATCTTGTTGGAAGAGATGCAAAGTAAGGGAATTGACCTAAATATGATAATATTTAACACGATGATAGATGGCTACTGCAAAAGAGGAATGATGGATGAAGCTTTGAGGCTGCAAACGATCATGGAAAGGAAAGGATTCAATGCATATGTGTTTACATTCAACATTCTTGCAAATGGGCTATGTAAATTGCATAGGTATGACGAAGCCAAGTGTACTTTAAATTCAATGGTAGAGAAAGGAGTGGAACCAAATGTTGTGACTTTCACTATGTTTATCGAGATATATTGAAAGGAAGGAAACCTTGCTGAAGCTGAGAGGTTCTTTAGGGATATGGAGAAAAAGGGAGAAGTGCCTAATATTGTTACATATAACACTCTCATTGATGTGTATTGCAAGAAAGAAAAAGTGAAGCTAGCACATTTGACAAAATCTGAAATGATAAACAAGGGGTTATTGCCAGATGTGTATACATACACATCGCTAATACACGGGGAATGTATTGTTGGCAGGGTAGACGAGGCGCTTAAAATTTTCGATGAGATGAGGTCAAAGGGGATAACTGGAAATGTCGCAACGTATACATCACTTATTTCAGGTTTATCCAAGGAGGGGAGAGCAGATGAAGCATTTAAGTTGTATGATGAGATGATAAAAATGGGCCTAATACCTGATGATAGAGTTTTTTCCGCACTTGTTGGTAGTCTTCACAAACCTCTCACTCATGCTGGTCTAAAACAAAATGAGTATGAGGATCTAAAGTAGACACTTCAGGCACTTCATTAGGGTCAAATATATGTTAGTCAAATGCACATAGGTAGGAAGTAAAGAAAAGGGCAGGTAAGGGTGTGAGAGAATGATGATTTTGTCCTTGAAACTCAAGCAAGAAGACCTGTGTAGGGGAAAGTTGATCTTCAACACCAAATTAGAGTTTGGAAACTAGGAAGATGTGCGAATATTCTGGTCCCGATAATATTCAAACCTTCTCTTTTTCTTGTAATTGGTTGCATAGTATCTCTTGATAAGGTCATTCTTTGTTGGCATTCAATCCTTCATGTTTGCGTTGAATGTAACTGAAGTTTGATATAACTGTAACCCTGACATAATTTTGAAAGTTTCTCAGCGATAACACTTTTATTTATTAGAAGGTCTTGTACATGTAACATGCACAGTTTTTTTTTACTGGAACATGCAAGGCAATTTAGAACTATCATTAATTTCAATCTATATTTTTTATTTATTGTTTGTTTTTTATGAATGTGACATTGTAGAACATGCAAGGTTTCTCACTGCTGCTTTTTCTTTAAGATAACACAATGTCTCCCGATTGTAGAGCTTGTTAATTTTTTCCTACTCTTGTTGATATAATAGTTTTTATGAGAACTTACATCTGAAAACTAATATGCACTATTGACCTTGTTTCTTGGATTTTATTCTTGATTTTGTCCAGATTACTGACATAAAAACTTTTGAGCTGAAACTGAAGTTTGGATTTGGCTTACACGGCAGGGTTCACATAACAGAGGTAACTCTACTGCATCTACTGCTGCCAATATTTGAACTAGCATTTTAAGTTGTAGATTTGATGTATAAAATGAGCAGGCTCTGTTGTTTTGAGTGTGTAAGATATATGCGGCCTTACTCTGATATGATGTGCTTTTTCTGGAGCAGGAAGTTGTGACCAAGGCCACATGGCCGTAACCTTAATAATGCAGCAATGCCTATCTCTTTTATTTTGTCTATTTAACTATTTTAACATGTTCCTCAATAGTTTGGTACCTACTTATTGACAGGTACATGATGCAAATGATTTGGAAAATCCATTTTCTGGCTACAAAATTGGGCAAACAGTGACGGCAAGAATAGTTTCAAAGCCTAATGATGCTGATAGCAGCAGAAATGGATCACGGTGGGAGCTTTCAGTCCGACCTGAAATGGTTACAGGTAAAAGACACTACTAGATAAAGCAAGATTTTAATGATACTCGTAATTTATACGTTGAGATGCATGTACAGAAAGACTGGTGAATGGTGTAGATCGGTAATTTGATTAATAAGTTTGTAGCTATGGATTGTACATTAGGACCTTTTAAATATTTTGGAGTTTGGTATACTACAAAAAGTTGGAAGCTGATTCACGTTCTCAATTTAAAGTTTATTTCTTTTCAAATTTCTTATATTAACTTGGACATACTGTAATGATACTGTTTGTCTTTTCTTTTTTAAATTAGTGTCTAGAAATTTATTTTGACAGTGGGCATGTCAATTACGAATTATATGATTTTGTTCATCTGATATTTCTACACTGATGGATGTTCTCAGTTTGTAATTTTGAAAAGTAATGCTTGTAATTTGCAGGCATATGTTGCTGTCGTACAGTGAATCAAAACTATGCAAATATTATTTTGATGCTTTTACGTCTCCGTCAGGCTTGTGATCACCCACTTCTTGTTAAAGAATACAATTCTGATCCTGTTGATGGTAGACGTTCATCTGAGTCTAGCTACCGTATTGGAGATAATGGAACTTCAGGGGGGACAAATTAGACTTTGCTATGATCGAGATAATTAGATTGTGAACTTTCTCATGTATTTTTGGCATAATGATACTTATTATTATAAAATTAGAAATTGATATATTTTGGGTTTTTTGTACTACTTGACATGATTATGGAACTCGCATTTTACATGATTATGGAACACACATTTTTTTGGATATTATAATGCTTATTTGATGTTAAATATTTTTTATTGAAATTATTTTTACTATATTACAAAGTGATAGAAAATAAAACAAAAAATAATACTATAAATAAATATATTAAAGAAGAAATAATTTAAAGAAAAAAATAACACAAAAAAAAACTATATTTAAAATTTTTTACATAGATAATAATTTAAATAAAAAATATATATAATAGAAAAAAAAAAAATCAAGACATAAACAAAAGTCATGGCGACAGTACCGAACCGTCGTAATCAACAAAAGTCATGACGGTATCGAACCGTCGCCATAAATAATTTAATCAATTTCAAAAGATATTCACGACAGTATCGAACCGTCGCCATCAATAATTAAAAGAAACTCAAAAGATAGTCACGACGGTATCAACCCGTCGTAAACTTGAACGACAGTTTTTGTAACCGTCGCGAAATAGGTTGGGGACACACACTTCTGCGACGGTAAAGCAACCGTCGTGGAAAGCAAATTGCGACAGTTTTAACCGTCGTGATCTACAAAAATACCTGTCGCAATCTGCCAATTTTCTTGTAGTGAATTTGTATTGCATAATGTGATGATTGACTGTGTGGGGAATGGGCTTAAAGATTCCATTTGGAAAAGATGACTAAGAGTTGTCAGAGATGGGCTTAAAGATGCCATCCAAAGTAGATGCTGACTTCATAAGAGGTCTTTTTATGGGGATTCATGTTCCTTCTGTCTGAGGAGGACTCCATTGGGGAATATGGGTTTCTGTTGTTCTCCTGCATGAGGAAAACCCTGTGGGGAATAGAGTCTAGGAGCTTCAGTTGTCCAAGACTCTACTGAGGAGTTATTTCTGTACTAGAGAGATGAGAGTTTGTTGATTTCTGGTTGGAATCCAGGCTTCACAGTAACTTGCTAGGGATAATGGAATTAACCGTTACTTGAAAATGCATTAGAAAGAGCATGTGTAAGGCTGTTTCAGGATGAGTCTGTGTTAGTTTGCATCTGAAGATATATGAGAGGGAGCCTGGGTAGGGCTGCTTCATGATGAGTTCGGGTAAGACTTCATCTGGAGATGTAAGAGAAGGAACCTGGGTAGGGTTGCTTCATCTGGTTATGTAAATAGTCACCCTATCTTGTTTGGGGAATTGATCTACAATCAGCTGTTCACAGACAGTTGTCCTATCTGGTTTCAGGTATTAATCTCTGACCTAAGAGAGAGAAAGATAGTTTTCCCGTCTTGTTTCGGGTATTAATCTTCAATATGCTCATGTATATAACTTTCCTATCTGGTTTCAGGTATTAATCTATAATCAATCATCCACAGATAGTTGTCCTGGCTTGTTACAGGTATTAATCTAGAACTTGGTAATGTTGGTAAGTGTGAAGCTTGATTGTGACGTATAATGAAGGAATCTTGGAGAATTACTACCTCAACAGGTGATGAAGGAATCATGGTCGATTACTACCTCAACAAATAGTAAAGGAATCTTGGACGATTATTACCTCAATAGATAATGAAGAAATCTTGGACGATTACTACTTCAACAGATAATGAAGAAATCTTGGATGATTACTACCTCAGCAGGTGATGAAGGAATCTTGTTTGATTACTACCTCAACAGATAGTGAAGGAATCTTGGACGATTACTACCTCACCAGGTGATGAAGGAATCTTGGTCGATTACTACCTCAATAGACGGTGAAGGAATCTTGGATGATTACTACCTCAACAGATAATAAAGGAATCTTGGACGATTACTACCTCAGCAGGTAATGAAGGAATCTTGGATAATTGCTACTTCAACAGATAATGAAGGAATCTTTGATGATTACTACCTCAACAAATAATGAAGCAATCTTGGATGATTGCTACCTTAACAGGTAATGTAGGAATCTTGAATGATTACTACCTCAACAGATAATGAAAGAATCTTGGACTATTACTACCTCAATAGATAATGAACGAATCTTGGACGATTGCTACCTCAACAAATAATGAAGGAATCTTGGACGATTACTACGTCAACAGATAATGAAGGAATCTTGGACAATTACTACTTCAACGGATAATGAAGGAATCTTGGACGATTACTACCTCAGCAGGTGATGAAGGAATCTTGGTCGATTACTACCTCAACAGAGTACCAAAAATTTGTCTGATAATGTAAGTAGTTGATGATATTTGTCTGTTTATAGACTTTTACCTGAAAAGATAAAGGGTTAACTGTATGCAATGTCATGATGCATGAATGCTCTCAAAATAACGAGATTGTAATATATGCATTCGTGCTGCATATGTTATGACACTTGTAAAATGATGTATGAATGTGAAATGTTATGAGGTGCATTTGTAAACACGAGCATCTTTGTTTGGGGAAAATAAATCCCTGACTGTCGCTGGGGATGAAGATGGTAGGTCTTAAAATTTTTTGAAGTTGGACTTGCTAGGAGATGAACTTCCGTTGCTAGAGAAATAAACTTTGTTGGGGAAGGTAAACTCCGTGAGCTGCTTGGGGATTTTGTTGAAGTCCTGTTGGGGAATCCTGAGAAGCTTGGCGATTTCACTGGGGAATTTGTTTTTGGGAGCAGTAATTAAGATTTTGCTCTGCCGGGGATATGAGAACCTGACACCATTAGGCTGCATGCTGAGAATATGGCAGTGACTTTATAGTAGGATTCCCCTGCCTCTACACCTGTCGGAGAAAGCATCTGATGGGATTTTATGGATGGCTTGACTGTTGTCCCAACTCTTGGAATCCTTGGTGAATACGGACCAGGGTGTTCATCACTCTACTGATAGACAAGTGATGGGACATGGTCTTACGCTTTGATCCCTAACTTTTTCCTGGACTGTCTTTTCAGACTTTCAGTCCATCGGGATACCCTTTTTTTCCCAAGCCGCCTTTTTAGGTTTTTGACTTGCCGGATGTACAGATTTTTTCATATGTATATCCCTAATTTTTGCCCGAACTCCTTTATTTCGCCGGGATGCCCTTATTTTTGCATAGGCCAGTCGACCTAACGGGTCTTTGTTCATGTGTAGTATTTTCCGACTATATC